ACCCACGCGACCCACTGTTAACCCGCCATACCTAGCTCACCACCCGCACGACCTAGCATCGACCTATTAACATTCATGTTTCCAATGGACTGTTAGCTAATGCACCAGATACGTTAGAAGAGAAGAAAAACTATAGTAGAACAAAGTGAAGAGAAGTAGTTATTTCATTGCTTAAGTAAATACAAGTCAAGTCTATTTATCTAAGACTACTTAGTTATGGAATTACTAAACTACCCATAGGTAGTTACATAAAGCTGGAAAGTGGTTCTGAGTATTCGGCTTTCTCAACAGCCTCGGCAGGAGACTTAGAGTGATGGAGCAGAGTGGTGTTCGCCTTAATGATGATGTTGATTTGATTATCATTATCAGCCCCCCCCCCCAATATTGTCTCAATAGAGTGGGGTAGAAGAAAGGTTGATGGAGAAATCAGCACTTAGGCGACGAAGCAAAATAATGTCAACAGTTGTGGCGCAATAGATCGATATTCTGCTTCAATAGATGAGCGAGCCACGGTGGATTGCTTCTTGTCTGACCATGAAAGAAGTGCATAACCAAAAAGTACATATTAACCTGTAGTTTATTTGCGATAAGTGATGTTGTCGGCCCATTCTGAGTCGATATAAGCTAATAGAGTGAGATCGATTTTGGGTAGAAATAGACCAAGTGATATGGTGCCTTTGAGGTAGCAAAGAATGCATTTTAAAAGCTGAGTCACCTTTAAATATTAGGGGCGAAGAATGCATTTTAAAAGCTAAGTCACCTTTATAATCATCCTAAAGCAAACATAATTTGAATATTATTATTGCAATTTTGATGTTTTATTATTTTTTATATTTCTTTTTTCAATATAATTATTTTTGTAATTAAAGAAATTTGATTTTTTAGATTATTGATTTTGGAAAGACCAAATAAAAAAAGATGTCAAAAAGAAATGTATAATATGTACAAAAATTGAAAGAATGCGCAATAGTTCGTAAAATGAAGAGAGACAAAAAATTAGCCCAAATAGAAAAAAATGCATAAAGTGTGCTACAAATATTTGAAAAGATGCGCAATGTCACCAATTGAATTTGTTTTTTCCTCTATCGTTTAATCTTTAATTCAAATCAATCTAATTTTTAATTATGTTTTATATTGAAAATTAAAAATAACTAATATTTTTTTCGTCACTTTTGCAATAATCCTCCATATCTAATTGTCTAGAATGCTACATGACCTTAATAAAATTTTCTTATCTAGTTGTATTTTAATTTAAACTTTTTGAATTTTTCTTTTTTATCTTACGTAATTAACTTTATTATTGTAATTATATTTCAATCTATTTTAAGATCAATTATTATGATTTCTCATTTGACATCTTTCATTTTATTATTCTTATTCCCTTTTTGTTGTTGTCAAAAGGGGGAGTAATATTATTTTGTGTTGTATTTTTTGTTGGTTTTGTGTTTCACGTGTTTGTGTTTTTATTTTGTACCTTATATTTGTGTTTGTTGTTTGTGTTTAAAAGAAAAAAAAGTTGGGAATCTTCATAGAATTTTCCTATATTCACTTGGTTATTCTTTTTGGGGGAGCTAAGGAGAAATTTAAGATATACATGTTAAGTCATATAATAATTATTTTGCCATCATCAAAAATAGGGAGATTGTTGAGATAGTTACAACTTAGTTTTTCGATTGTTGATATTCTTGCAACATGTATGTTTTTATGATTCTCAAATATTATTATTTTGATTACAATTTCTCCTAACATATTTTGGATGTATTATTTTATTATTTGTATATACTAATATTTCAAAAAAATCATACTCCAAATTGTTGAAGACTTCAAATCAAATCTTATTAGGATTTATTGTAAATGAAGTATATATTTTTTATTTTATTGAGTCTGGTATAGTGTGATTGTAATTGAGTAACTGTGCACACACACTGGATGAGTGTTTAAAATTGTAATTTTTTAAACTGATCGTACTATACATAGTCATTTAGTACGGGGTGATTTGTTTAGTTATTTTTTCCTTCGAGCAATCAAACGAACTACTGGTAGAAAATTTTTTTAACTATGGATCGTACGATGCTAAGCTTTCTTCATACGTAGGCCGTCTAGAGTACAAAAATGTGAGGTCACCTTTCGTCCAGACGAACTTGAAAATTTTTTGAATGGATCATATTGTACGATGTTGTCTTCATACGTATGTCATCTAGAGTATGAGTTGGATGAGTCCCTTTTTATTTAGATGAATTCTAAAATTTTCTAAACTGATCGTACTGTATGATATCGTCTTCGTACAGACGTCACCAAGAGTACAAAAATGTGGTATCCCTCTTCATCCTGATGATGATGAAAAATTTTCTAACTATCGTATAATAGAACTTAGTTCGTACTGGATGATCATCGTGTATGAAGTCATTTTGTACAGATTCACAAAAGATTCGTATACAATAGTTTTTAAACTATTTGTAAGTATGAACTTACAATCGTATTATACAATTGTACTCGCTCAAAATTGAAAATTTCAAATTACTAGACGGTTTTTAGTGTCTTTCATATAAAAGATCATTTAAAACTGATGTGAAAAGAGTTGTTCTTCATGATTTTTCAAGGGCAAGTGAAAGAGAGAGTGTAGGAGAGTATTGTTTGAGAGAGATTTCTTGAAAGTGGAGTTTGAAGGGTTCATAAGGCTACTCAAATGTAATGATCTCATTTATATTTTTTAGTTATCACTCTTCTTTTCTTCTTTTTAATTGCTCGTGAGAAGATCTTTAAAGAAGATTTGATACTCTGCCGACACTTGGAGAGTGTGAATAGACAACGGTACTCCATCGACACTTGGAGGATGTGAAAAGACAACGGTTCTCTGCCGACGCTTGGAGAGTGTGAACAGACGACGATTCTATGTCGACACTTGGAGAGTGTGAAAGGACGACAGTTCTCTACCGCATATGGGATTGGTGGAAGAGAGGATTTGTAAATACTTCTCTGCCTTGTTGTGGGGGTAAAAAAATAGTCACTTTAGTAATAGTGCAATACCAGAAGATGAAGTCTTCATGGAGTGGATGTAGGTCGTGTTTGACCTAAATACTATAAACCTTTCTGTCATTTTTAATTTACGCATTTTGTTTTTATTTTCTGCACTTTGATATTTCTCGTTAAAAAGTTTTTTAAAAAGATAATCAAAGTTGAAAATTATTTAAATTGGTTTTCTATTAAAAATCCAAAAGAATTTTTTAAAATTATCAATTCACCTCCCCTCTTGATTAGCTGTTCGACAATTGCTTAGATTTAACAACCTATATGGAATCAATAATTTCAATTGACTACAGTCACTAATACTATCAAGATTTTGTGAAGGGTCTTCAAAAGACTCACTACCTATATCAATATATTCAAAATCTTCAGTAACATTTTCTTGGTGAAGTCCTTGGTTCGAAGTCCAAGCATAATCTCTAGTAGCAACAACACTTAAGAACATCATATCAAGCTTATCTTCAAGTTCGGGATCAATGCCACGATGTCTTTTTTTTTTTTGTATTTGGCACAACCTAGAAAGAAAAAATTTAGTTTATAGAATTAAAAGATATAATATGAAGGTTGAATTAGCCAAATATACGAAATAAATAATTTTAATATTTACCTCTAAGTTTTATTTTCACCATTCCTCAAGTGCATCAATTATTTTCATCCTACGAACCCAACCCATTTCAGTGGATCCACGTCAATTCTTTCAATAATTTTTAATCTTTTTTTAACTGATCCCATTTATTTTTTAACTGAACTTTATCATACTCTTTTCAAGTTTTCTCATAGAAATTCATAATCAAATTCATCCAACCATTTTTATTGAAGTGTATAGTCAATTGATTGTCAAGTTCAATTTCCCTTAGATATGAATCACATAATATAATCTTTACATCTTTCTCCTATGTTGCAGATGGTTCGCCGTCCTTTGATTTATCCATTGAATATCTTAATTGATGTACTATAAATTTACTGGAGAAGGAATTGCAATGGAACGCATGCAAGTGCCAAAAATAATATAGAATGAATTGTAAAGGATGGAACATGTTAAAGTAAAGCTTAAATTGACAAAAAAAAGAAGAACAAATAACTCCATATTAATTTTAAAAGATGAAAAGAGAATGAAATTGTAGTTTCCTCGGAGATATAACAAAAAATTGTAATAAATTAGGAACAAACTTACATAAAGGAGTTAGCTTGGTCGAAAAATATAGCATCTGACAAGATGCTATACTACCAAGTAGAATGAAGCTCCAGACAGTGAAGGTACTTGCCCAACAAATGACACTATAAAAAGGAAATAATTGTTTTTTTTTTAATTTTAAGTGAATTTTATCTCAAAATCAAATATTGCATATGAAAGACATTCAACACAATATCTCTATTGGAAAGCCTAAGCTCCCAACCAATCATACCTAATTAGCATCTAAAATTGATGATAAAAAAACTACAAAAAAAAAAATAATGAAATAAGTCATTAAAATAGAAAATAAGCTCAAAATCCCTCCATAAATATAGTAAAATTCACAAACAACATCTAGAATGTTGATAGGTGTGGAGATTGAGGGAGAAAATGTTGGTCTTTGCCGCAGGTTTGAAGAAGATAAGAGGTACAAGTAAAATAAGAGCAAGTAACAGTTTGGTAAGGGATTTCAGGCTGAAGGAAACTGCTGCAGTTGAGGAGGAGTAGGTAGTTGCTAGGTTTATTGAGGTGGAGTTGCTGTAGTGGGAAGTCGTAATTGGGGAGCTTTCGATCTGCGCTTGCGTGAGGTGGAAGTTGGGAAGGAGAGGACTTGTGTTTGTGTCGATGTTGGCGTGAGACAGACGGAAGAATTGGGATTTGCGAATAGGGGAGAAGTCCTGAGGTGCTGGCTTGAAGTGTGGTCGTGAGAGGAGGGAACAAGAGTTGCAAACTACTCGAAATTAACTGAAGAAGAAATCGTAGATGAGAGAAAGGCAGAAGGTCAGATTGAAGAAGCTCATACCTATTCGAAAGAAGCAGTTGAATTGATGAACCACCTCCAAGAGACCTCCTACAGAATGGAGCCGACGATGCAACCTGCTGGAGACGAGTATGAGTATGTGGATTGCGATGACCACCAACCTTTTGAGATAACCGGTTGTGAGGAAGATTTGTGCGATCGTATTGTTATGGTAGTGGAGACGAGGGCATCGATATGGAGGAATGATCGACAACTTCCGCACGATTTGGGGGCAGTAGTGTCATTTTTGTTCTTCGAAATCGTAGAAAGTAGCGTACTGCAGGAGGTAAAATTAGGTCGCGGGAAGCACCGAGGGGCAGCAAAAATATTCGTAACCGGCTCTATCTCAATCAACCAAAATGATTGTTTAACTGCCTTTTAAATAGCAAAGCATTAGTGACGTTTTCCCAAACCAGCCCTTGGTCGTTTGGTATGCAAACGGGATGCTAGTCGTTCAACTGCATGTTAGCCACCTGCCAGCTGGACTGCACGCCAGGTCAGAAAAGTCGTCCCATCATTCTACAGGTTTTATCTTTTCTATTGATTCGTTTTTAATTTATCAAATAAATAAACTAATAAAAATTAATCAAATTTAAATTAGTTGTTTTCTTTTAGGAAAAATTGCAAATTAGTTATCGAGTCATGTATGATGAACACAGTTTCTGACAGCCATAGGGCTTTACAGCCTGCAGCTGTCCTGGAGCGTCAGGCGAAGAAAAATTATTTTGTTTACTGAAACCGAAACCAACCTGGCTAATGTCCTCCAAGAGCTTGCTATGAAGATGCCACGTATGCCAGTCTCAAACGTTGGTAATTTTTTAGGTTGGCTTGACGTGAGAATGCTGTACGATAGACGTGTGATTGATGGCATTTCAGGGGAAAAACCATGGCGGCTGTTGAGGTGGGGTACTGACGGTCTGAGTAATTTGAAGGGAGGAGGAGAGATAATGTAAATGAACGAATTCCACGAAATTGCATTTATATGAAATAAATTTTTAAAAAAGATAGAATTTGTAGGAGCGTGATCTGATGAAAGATGAAGAAATAGATTTATTTGGTGTTGTAATGAATGCGTCAAATAATTTTAAAGTTATGGACAATAAGATTATTAATACTTTTATACTTCAAAGAATTTGAAGAATATATATATATTCAGAGTTTACTGTTATTTGTATTAAGTAGTTCAAAATCTCTTAGTAGGTTCTATTGAAAAATAAATAATTTAATTAAATGTAAAGAAAAGTATATTTTTATATTATTTAACTTAAATATTCTGAATGATAATACCTGGTACGTCGTCAAAAAATTCTCTTGATCGGACGCAAATCTCGATGCAAAATCAAGATAGAAATTTCAAAAATTAATTCGGAGACCATCTCAACTTCGATTTCAGCAAACTTATAGTCGAACTGAGCGTCTCGGAAATATGAACCCAACGACACCAAATTCGACTCAATCCGAGCCCAAGCAAGTTCAAATCAAGGACCCGAAGCACTGTTGGAAGGTTCGAACCACAATTTCGATTACCAAACAGTTTCCAAACATAACAAACTTATACTTGAATCGAGCGGCTCTACGAGACGAATCCAACGAGCCCAAGATCGCCGAATTCCGACATCATTAAGGTCTTCAAATCTCTTAGGAATGGTGCATGATCAAGGGATTCAACATTGCCCGTTCATCCGACCATTCCCCATTTACCCTTGTTCTCTCACCTATTTACAGACCATGCCACCCCAGAAATCTATAATTAGACCCCTCATTTCTCTTGAAAAGGGACCGGAGCAAGAAGAGAAGAAGAGAAGAGAACGAAGAAGCTCCTCCTCGACCACCGCCGGAGTTTCGCTGGACCACCGCCGAACCTTCGCCGGACCACCACTAGAGGCCCTCACCACCGCCGGACCACAGCCTGATGCCGTTGCTCTGCCGGACAACCACTTGAGGCCCTATCCTTCCTGGACCTCCGCTGAACCACCACTTGAGGCCCTCACCTCTGTCGGACCACCGCCTGACGCCGTTGCTCATCCGTACCTTCACATGAGTCCCTCACCTCCGCCGGACCACCGCCTGACACCGTTGCTCCGCCAGACCACCACCTGATGCCCTCACCTACGCCGGACCACCGCCTGACGCCGTTGCTCACCGGACCATCACCTGAGGCCCACACCTGCGCCGGACCACTACCTGACGTCGTTACTCCGCCGGATCTCACCAGGCCACCACCTCACTCCCAGATTTCTTCTAGGCCACCACTTGATGTCGAGAGTTCTCCTGAAGTACCGCCCTCCTACTACGGTCTTTCTGACCCCAGTCTCTTGCCGACTACGATTCTTCCGACCCCCATCAGCAGACAACGGTCTTTCTGACTCCGGTCTCCTGCCGACTACGGTCCTTTTGACCTCCGTCGCCTATTATGTCCTTCCAACCTCCATCTCCAGACAAAGGTCTTTCTGACCCCGATCTCCTACCGACTACGGCCTTTCTGACCTCTGTCGTCTACTATGATCTTTCCGACCTCTATCAACATATAATGGTCTTTCTGACCCCAACCTCATGCCGATTACGGTTCTTCCGACCTACATCGCTAGACAACGGTCTTTCAGACCTCTGTCTCTTACCGGTAATGGCCCTTCCAACCAAACAAACATGTCTGTATTGATTATTGTAACTCCCACCATGTATTGCGCTCTATATGGTGTATATTTGTAACATCAGGCCAAGGTCTTCTCCCTAAGAAGGGCTCATTTGTAATCGACTATAAATACTAGTGGATTCATTCAAACTGGGCCAGGCCCCGTGGTTTTTCCCCCTTTTCAGGGGTTTTCCACGTAAAAACTCTGGTGTCTCTTATAAATATTTCACCCACTCTCTTATCTGCTTGTGTGCTGGATCTTCGTATAATGCTAAAACGTTAAACTATATATTTCTCTACCGCCACGAATACTCCAGGACGCAACAATACCAAATAACATTAAGTTAGTGTAATTTAATTAAAATATAATATTCACTTATAACATTTTGTTTTTTAGAGAAGTTTTCTAAAAAAAGGTGAGCTAAGTATTATGCATTTTATAAATAATTAATCTTAATTTTTGTTTGAATTTATTATTATTAGTATAAGATCATCTAATAGTTATTTGATACTTCGATTAGGTAATTTATTTGTTGTTGTTGTTGATTGAAACCTATCAAATTATATGAGATGTATATCAGTAATGTCTAAACAATTGTTCAAACTTGTCAGATTATGTGAGCTTTATAGACTTAAGATTCAATCAAATGTCCAAACCTATCACATTTTGTGAGCTGTATAGTAGTAATGTCCAAAAAATTATTCAAACTTGTCATGTTATGTGAGCTATATTACAATAAGGTCCAATAGATTGTCCAAACCTATCACATCATGTAAGGTGTTAGAGGCCTTGGTGAGAGTTTTAAAGTCAAATTTCATAAGGTAATAAATCTAGGGCATAAACTATAAATATTTAAAAATTTTGCAGCCTTTTGAAACAAAATTATTTTCTTGGAGTTAGAGATCTCAGAAAGAACTTAAATTTGGAGGGTTGATACTAAAGGCATGCCACGTCAATATGCAATTGAAATATTATGAAATGGAGGTCATTTGATTGGGATTCTAGTTGATAGAAAATTCACCCAGATTAGGCTTCAAGACTTCGACTTTTGGCTTTGGATTTGAACTTAAGAATTTTAGATTTGAGATAGATTTTAAACTTGATTGATTGGGTTAGATTTCTCATATCAATCTCAATTATATGAGTGGTTGAGAGTGATTAAAGATGATTGGAGCCTGATTAAAGGTTGATAGGAATTTGGATTGGGGTTTGAATCGAGAAGTGGAATTATATTTGATTAGAATTGTATTAGATTTTTATTGGGACTTATATGACTGAGAAGTGGACACCTTCTACCATTGACCTCATACTAAAATGAGATCAACAAATTGACCTCCAATGTGTGTAGTAGAATGAACTTCTAGTGCACATATTAGTGTTGAACGAGAAGGGAATCACATAACCCTCGACCTATAAGATGTTGATAGAGAACTTATACCTAGTAGATGGAATAACTAGTAAGATCTTATGGGGAGGAAGCTTACTCCACACAGAGGACAAAAACTGGATTAAAATTAGGATGGTGCCATGAAGAGCGTACCCCATAAATAGTGGATGGTCATGTGGGTGTTAAGATAGTTGCTATTTGCATGCATTACATTTTTGCAACTTATGAAGTTTTGATGATTCCAAACAATATTGTTCAAATGTGTAGTTATCTCCTAACATTTTTTGGAAGAATTGTATTTGCTCTTGTGTGTACTAACATTTCAGGGAAAAAGAACTCCAGACTACGAAGACTTCAAATTAAAATCAGCATGAGATACCTTGAAATTTTTGAAACTTGCACTTGCTTAGAAATCAAATTGAAAGGGAGTGATTGTAACTTGAGTGAATAAAAACATGCACACACAAATAAGGAGATCATATTAAATTTGTATTGATTGTACAGGATGATTTTCGTTCGTACTGGACGATCAGACAGTTATCTCCTATAGAGCATATGGAACGAATAGGAACTTGCTCGAAAAATTTTCTAAGTCCTATTCGTCCAGGACAAAACTCAATTGAAAGGATATCAACTTTTGGTAAGGAATCGAGACTCAGGCTAAAGGCAAAAGAGGTTGATCTCTTTTCTCTTTCTCTTATCATTGACTTGAGCTAGAGCAGGGCATGAATGGACTCAATACTAGGGACAATAGTGTAGAATCAAGAAGTTTTCCCCAGAGTAGGGGCTGTCTAAATTGGCAGATTAGAAAAATATTATTTGATATCATCAAAGGCATTATGACACTTCTCATCCTGATGAATTAGTGTCCTTTTTATCTAGGATGGAGAAGGGTTGAAATTTTTTCCCAAAAGGCGTTGAGATAAACATCTTATATATGCTAACCTACCTTAGAGAGACTCAAATTGCGTAAGTGTTAACCTAGGAGGTGGAATATCTAAGATGGCTTTCAACTTAGGTAAGAAAATCAATCTTGATAACCGTGGTGCCTTCAC